TGTGGTGTAATCTAAATAAATAAATAAATAAATAAAATATTTATGCACAGAGCAGCAAAATGAAGAAACTTGTTTTTGTAACATATTGGGTAATAGTGACACACTAAAAGCTTACTTGCTGGTGGAGCGGAAGGGCTTAAGGACACCGACGCTGTGGTGGTACTTGCTTCGGCCTCCTTCCTCCTCCAGCTCTTTAGCGTGAGCGACGCTGCCTCCGTCCAGTGGGAAGCCGCCTTCGGCCCGGCCTGCTGTCTCCAGAGCATCCTAACACACACACACACACCAGACATGAGTCAGCGATTTTTTTGCCTCTGCGTTATCACTGTACCAACCTAACAGAGCAAAAATGGAAAAAGGAAGTGAGCAAGTGTCTGTAAGCAAGTGATAGGTCATATGTTAAAGCTTAGAAGAAACAGCACGACTCAGTTCTTTTAAGCAAACAGGTCACATGGCAAAAACAACGTATGTATAGTCACAAGCACTTTTCAGAAAAAGGCTCATGATTTTTCATTCAACACACGCACATATACACCACACACACACACACACACACACAATTCCTGTGCAGGTCTGGTTCAATAAGCCATCAACAAACATGTATACCACCCTTTAATCTGTCGTTCAGCTTTGAAGCGATCGTTTGGCCAAAAATGAAATTCACACAATTTTCCAATTACATCACATTTAATCCATCTATCAAGACGTTTGCTTGCTAAGGTTTGTTCTTCTTCCAGAGGAGCACTGTGCAAGCTGCATGTTTAAATCACCACACACTGGGTAGAATTTTAGATCAGAAGTGATCTGGATCATTGTACAATTCGAATTTTATTTGATTAATTTACTCTTCTGTTTTCTGATCATGTGCAAATGGTTTTTGCGTAGTGCTAAACTGGTAGCTATAAGCTTTCCTGATTTGTTAGCTACATTAGCTTCGCAGCTGCAGTACAAATGTCGAAACCGAACAATTTTTGCCAAATGTTTTAATATTAGTTGAAAGTGAAAAAAAGCTTACATTTAGTTTTTCACCAAACTTTTCCTTTAATGCGGCTCATCTCTGTTCTTTCTATCAGATTCTAATCTGCTTTCTATTCTTGAAGTTACTGTAGGCTATCTTGAGAAGGGCAGATGGTGACACACTGCAGTGGAATAATATCTGAGCTTTACATTAGAGTGTAATTTCATCTACTGCACTCTGTCTGCTTGACTGGCCTGGTTGAAGCCTGACTGGTCATGATTATCATGATAGTAATTACAAAAATAATTCAAATAATTATAACAATAAAGACCCAGGGCCCCTGGGTGCGCTCTCACTGCTATGGCCCGGGATCGATTCCCAGCCGAGGAACCAGCCCCTGGGGCTGCAGAATCAAAATATACGGACCAACAACCCCTAACAGGAGCAGCCGAAAGAGGAACAACAACGATGTAACAATAAAGACCTGAGAACTATGAACAGGCCAGGCTAAACAAGTATGTCTCTAATTCAGCTGAGTGTTTGGGGCCATATAAGAAAATCAGGAAGTACAAAAACCTTGTTTATCTTTTTATTTTGTGGGTCAAAGGTAAGAAATGGTTTCCAAGCAACAGAACTGCATTATTCTTAAACATATGTCAAACAGATCAATTTGTAAATTTAGTGAGATTTTATTTCTGAACTTCTGCACTTGAACCTGAACTTCTACTTAAATTGGATTTTTTTTCTCTAAACATGCTTTTAGGAAAGAAACAGAAAAGTATTATTTAGGCATATTATTAATTCTTTGTAAAATAAACACAAAAAAGAGATGTCCTGTCTTTGGCACTTATACAGTATATAAATAGGTTGTACTAGTTATGTAGTGATGTCCCATCTAATACCTGTGTAGTCAAAAGAACACTGTTTTCTGTATTGCTTGGACTTGGACTTGGACATATTGGTAATTGGACTCTTGGTCTTGGGCATTGCTTTTGCTAAATACGGTCATGGTGTCAACTGAGAGTCAAATAGCGTTCATGTTGTCTTTTATTTGTGCATGCACAACTTTTGACAAGAAGTAATTCCTTCTTCTAGAGAGCAGCCTAATCATTGGTGCGATGCAAGAACGAAGCCAATGAGTTGAAGTAAAAGCTTGGCCACAAAAAAAGGATTTGGTCTCAATCTTAACTTGGTTTTGCTGTTATTTAGACTCAGTATTGGTTTTGCCTCGAGACTCGGTCTTGACTAGTCCTGGTCTTGGACTTGGCAATGAGAGACTTGACTACAGCTCCATTCCTGAGAATGTCTGTACTGTTACAAATGGATTAGAGAAGGATTTCTGACGCAAATGCGTGTGTATCAATTTTAGTTTCGGCTGGTGCAAGTACACAAGTGTTACTTTTTGTATCAGTTAGAACAGGACATCATGTCTTATAGTTACACATAAAAACTGCTTTTCTGTCACTTGTCCTATTAGTTTTGAGCCTGTGAAAAAGGAGGGACTCTGTAAAAAAATGTCTCATTCCTAAATGGTTAATGCAATATTTTTTTAAACCCCTTGAATTCAAGTTGAAAGTCTACACTTCAATCACATCTCGATTGCTTCAGTTCAAATCCACTATGGGGGTGCACACCATAGGCACCATAGGCGAGGCAAAATTATGAAAATCGTGTCGCTGTCCAAATACTTATGGATCCTGTATGTTTCACAATGAGGGTAACTACGATTACATGCTTTGAACTGCTTTGGAAATGTGTATGGGCTTGGGAAAACCCTTCACATGGTGAAATTTTGACATTTTCTACAACATATAGTTCTGAAAACTACAAGATTTCCTGAACTAAAACATGTTCCTCTTTTGCATGCCACGTTCATATACTCGCACGAAGACACGGATGGACACGTGTCTCTGTCACAATGACCCTTCACAAAGCTAATGTTCCACCCAGCCAGTGGAAAGAAAAGTCTTACACTGCATCCCTCACACACCGCTGATGTTATGACTAACTACTCTGACCAGAAGACACATTACGAGTGTGTGCATGGAGAAGAGAGGAAAAGATGATGCTTGCTCTCTATATATAATGACATATAAAAAATGACAAGGCGTGCTGTTATAGGAAAATAGTCAATGTCAGAGTAGTGTAATGTGGACCAATGCAAAAACCGGAGTTACTGTTACCACCCTGAAGTTGATTAATTTCCCATAAGAGCACATCCTGAAGTGTTTTATTCCTCTTGCAGCACAGCAATTAGCCAAGGATTGCAATTTCTCATACAAGCCCATGTGTAAGTTACTATAGAATTGGTAATGTATTAGAAGGAGCGTATTAATAAAAACCTGTGAATAGTCTTGCAGCCGACACTACTGTCAGAGCTGCTGGTATAGAAAATGAATCAACAGTTCCTGGCCAATTGAATTCGAGAATTCAGCAGCACCGAGGGATAAAACATTTAACAGCCCTCGAAGGCAGAAAGAGCAAGCAGGATTATCCGGGTACTAAAGGGAACACAATGTTCTTTCAAGTGTACCCGGTCAGATGAAAAGGTAAAACAGACTACACTCAGCTCACAAGCTCATAATCTTTAAATCAAAGCATGACTGGGAGCATTCTGTACTTTTACCTCTTGCATGCAAATCAGAGAGATTTTTGAATCATACATGCATCCGTGAGTCATAGTTTCATTAACCTGAACTGCTGACAGATGCCTTAAACCCGACACGCCACTTTGCTTAAAAACAACGAGGCTCATTGATCCAACTGAGAACCTCCTTGTACAATGACAATGCGTAAAGTGTGCCGCAGAGTTCACTGACGTGAGGCTGCAGACTATCTGGAATTTGTCATGCGCTGCATAAAGCCACAGCTTTGTTCCCCCTCAGTGGAGGGATTCTCGACGTGGCAAGAGATGTCGCAAGCCACACGCAACCTTCCTCTGCTTTCCAGACACTTCAGTCACTCCAACTGGAGAACAACTGCACTATGACAGCACGTCAGCATAAAATAAAGGCCCAGAGTGACGTATCAATTTCCACCAGCAGAATCTAAAGCCATGATGTGAGAGCATGAATGAAAAGATCTGCCAAGACGAGGATATGTTGTGAGCCAGTGTGATCAGTAGTGTTTTAGTAATTCTGCCACGAGGATCATACACTTATAGTGCCTACTGGTTTTTCGGTGAAAAATTATAATCATGATAATAATGAGGATTGTGATACTATCACCTGATCTCATTAGGCAGCAACTGAACCACAAACGAGTCCCGTTCAGAGTGTGAAGGATAAATGCGATGTAAAAATACTCCTGCTGCCTTAAAAATACTCAAAATAGATAGCTGACCTTATGCTACCTCTCTTAAATGGGACAGCCATCTCAGAAGTGCAAATACTGGCAAAAACAAATGTTGCCTACCTAGGGAGCCTACCTCCAAATGAAACACAGTGATAATATTGAATATGTAAGGAATACAACACATCGGGATATGGTATTATAGGATAATATATAATAAATAACAAGACAGGGTGATGTAATGCGACGCAACGCAAGGCAAAAGAAGTTAATCATTTTCCAACAACAAATTTGCCAATTCTAATTTATTAATAAACAATACACTGTGGTTTTAACCTTTTACAGGTACATCTAATGTTAGCTCCTGTTATCATGTACGTTGTAGCAGCTATAAGCAGTCGCTCCCTCATCAGGTTCTGCTTTTTCTCTCTTTCTTTCTCCATTATCATTAATACAACAACAACGACAAACACACACACACACAGCTTGTCTTGTTACTGAGAAACCAGAAAATGCAAAGGCCTCTGTGCTGAAGACTTTACCAGAGCCATGCTTTCTGGGTGGGGAGGGATGGGATTACTTTCCTTCCTCTGTCAATCACAGCAACATTAACCAATCGTGGGCATCTGTGAGCTCATGTATGTGGAAGAGGGTAGATAGCACTTTCCTCTGAGTGTGTTACACTGCCCTGTGATGCAGCATGAACAGCAGTTAAAAAATAGAGTTGGCAGGTTTCACTTGTCACAGCCAAGTGTCCCTGGTGCTTTAACGGCAAAGGATGCTGTTCTCTTACCGCCAAGGCCCGGATTCGATTCCCGGCCAGGGATCCAACCCAACCACTGCGAGTGTACTTTCAGTGCTGGCCCTAAGCCTTAGGAAGGACATCCGGCATAAAACCTGTACCAAATCAAACATGCCAACGATCTGCAGTGGCAACCCCTAATGGGAGCAGCCGAAAGAAGAACAACAACATGTTTTGGAGCAAGCATGAGTTAGCCTTCACTCTCTTCAGCTGGTAGCTGTTGTATCAGCTAGATTATATCTGGGAACTGGCAGGTGACCAATTGCAGAAGAAATGGGCAGGGGTATAATAAAATGATAAAGAAGAACCTTTAGAGGAAAATAGTTTTCTTACATAATGCAAATGCACAAATGCTGTGCAGCAAAAAGAAAAAAAAAAGCGAACGTTCTGCATCCCTGGCTTTTCTGAATGAAAACGCTTAAAAAAAAATGCTTTCTGCAGTGCAAGGACAGCCCCCTCCCTTCACCGTCCCTCAATCCCTCCTCATATTCTTTCCTCCTGTTCTCTTTCCTCCTTTCTCAAACATGGTCACGTTGCACAGCCTCCTCAGGCAAGAGAGAGGGAGGGGAGGATCGACCTATCGGTAGCCAAGGCTGCTCTACGCATCACTGCAACTCTGCAATGCCATTGGCGGTTGGTGCCAGAAAGGGCGGGCTCAGGTTATGTAAACAACTGAGCACAGCAGAAAGAAAGCAGCCAATCAGAATCCGGCCGGGCAGCCCCAGTGGAATACTGAACGGTGGGGAGAGCGAAAGAGAGAGAGATAGAGAGAGATAGGCTTGACAGTGCAAGACAAAGAGAAAAAGGGCAACAGAAGACCCTCGCCTAACATGCTGACTAATTGCTGATTGGTGAAAGCGGACAACAATGCGAGGGAGGGACGTGGTGTCCAAACACAAAACAACAGCTGTATGTTCTTTAGCACTAACAGCGTATGACTGCGTCAGCATCATCCCACATCCCTAAAACTGACACTTACGCTGAGAACACAATCAGGCCCAGACACAAACACGGAAACATTTCAGGAGCCCTTTAATACATGTTTAACACTTCACACTGACCTGGACGTTGGCGAGCTGATAGTGGTCCACTTCATTTGCTGGTAAAACCTCTCTGGAGGGAACGGCCCTGTACGCAGGACCTGCTGCCAGGCAGTCCTTTCCCAAATCATGTTCTTTCATCTTCTTTCATTAGCAACCATAGGAGCGCTTTAATGGCCTCCACTCTGAGTTTTTATCTATCCAAGCCATCAGAGACCAGAAAAACAAATGTCATATATATACACAAGGATATCTGTCTATAACTAACTGATTCATATCACTTTTGGTTATTCAGATATGCCATGAATTCCCACGTTAGCTATAGTATAAGAATGACTACAGGTTTTAAAATATACTGTATATACTGACTTAATAATAAGATACTAAATGTAAAAGGCTGTAAAAAGATCCTGTTTTGAGCCAGGGAATATAATAATATTAATATAACACAATTATACAATATATTGTTTATAAATAATATATAATATTATATATTGTACAATATATTCATTATACTGTTATCTTGATTGCTCAAATATATCATCTTTACCCCTGCAATCCATTCGGAAAGTGGTTGCCTAGGTTGGCAGCATTTTTTTATTTTTTTTGCAGGCATAAAGACACCCAAGTCTAGTTTCCAAAATTTTCCAGAACTCTGACTCAAAAATATCTATTTATATCTAAAAAAAAAAAAAAAGAAGAAGTTTGTCCCATTTGGATGGCGGCATAAGCACAGCTGACTTATAAAATACCGTCTAACTTGTATCTTTCTCAGCCCAAAAATGTCTTTTTTTAATTTATTTATTTAATTAAATTTTATTTTATTAGCACAATATTGTAATGATGCTGCAAGTCAGAAAGAACAGGTTTAGGCTCTGTAACATAGACACCTGCCTACTACTAATGATAATAATTATAATAATATCTGAATAAGGATTAATTTAGTATTTTACTGGTGGTAGAAAACCTGCTCTTTATCTATTTCATAGTCACATCTAGCTGGTTGAGAAAAATCCCCCAAAACATTCAGCACATTTCATTTAACTCATTATTTAATGTCTAGGAGTGTTTAGAGCAGGGGAAATATTTCCCCAAACTGTACCGATGTCTGATCACACAGAAACACACCACAAATATGTCCTGTTTTCTTTCTCCCTCTACATTACAGTATTTAATGACATCCTCTGAGGCCCACCAGGACAAGCGTCCAAACACGTCTAAGGGGAAGTTCCTACAGACCATGGACGAGAAACCTACACTTCCTCATTAACTTTTCCCATCACATAATGCACTGCACTGTTTAGTGTCTGATACAAAGTGTCTGATGTAAACACCTGTAATCTGATAATCTGCTAACTAGAAATAAGGCTGAACTTGACTTTGACTGTTCTCCTCATTTACTGATAGGTAAACAACATGTTCATGACCAGGGACACACTAAGCTGATTCTCTGTGGCACCAGTCAGAGAAAAGGCAAGCTTTTACATGAAGAAATGTTATTTTTTAAAATCATTTTATATATTATAGGCATCTTGAGGGAAACTGGCTGTTTTGGCTACATCACTAGACAATCAGCAGTTTATATTAGACAAACCTCAAATGCCTAAAATATTGATATATATGTATATACAGAGTTATATAATCATCTAGTGTCATAAAAGCTGGTTATTTAATTCCAGTTACATTATTCGTTTTTTTTTTATGCTGTCCTTTTCAGTTTACATCTAAAACCATTTATTTCACTATAGGTAAAACACCTTTACCAAGGAATCGGTATCGTTAAACGCTTATTTATACAGTTTCACAATAAGAAAGACGGGATTCAGGATAAGTTTACCTGTGAGCTTCCTCTTGACGATCTGCAGATTTCGAACAGCAGAAAAAAAAAACAAAAAAACAACTCGCTTATGAAGCGTCCTAGCGGCGCTGCGAGGACCACAAGCATGATGGGAAATGTAGTTATTGTTACTACAGTCTCCGCGTAAAGTTCGCGCTAAAAGACTACAATACCCATAAGGTACTAAATACAGGAATTAACGCGAAACAAAAAAAAGGACAGTAAACAGGATGAGCTTGTATTACACAAAACATCTTCCTATTATCTTCCGCCATTTCATATAATTTATCTTTGCAATGTTATTGTCCATGTTAGACATAAAGAAAATACGTACTTCCGGTTACTGACAGTGTGCACACTGTATATGGTGTAAATCAGCTTCCTAGCGCTTCTGTTCCTCTGGATTAACACTTTAACTCAACGCCAAGCCATTTATTTTGCCATAAAAACTGATCAAATTATTGTGTGTGTGTGTTTATGAACAAAGAAACACCAAAATAGACTGCACAGAAGAATACACTTGACCAACAAAGCACCAAAGCTTACACTCTAGGCCTGTGTAATTTACATTTCATTACACTCAAGACTAAATTTTGTGTAAACTATTAAGTGCAATCTTCATAGCTGCAGGTGAAGCTGGCAGATTATTATTATTATTATTATTATTTTGCATTCAAACCAGATGCAAACATTCCATGTTAAATAACCAGGTACTTCGGTTAGGTTTAAAAATAAAAAATGCCTTGGGATAAAGTAAATTGTACCAAAACTGTCAATGATCACATTCACAATGTAAGACTGAAGTTCCTCCCAGCCTGAATGTGTAAATATGATGTCCAGACCCATGTGAACATCACATGACCACTGACTTCACTGTTTGACATCTATGCAAGTGCCAGTGATGACTGCAAAAACTACATCTGACCTTTTTTTGGGTTTCTTCAGTCAGGATCAAACAGGGGACAAGCTCAGACATCTTTTTCATTGCTGGAATTGCTCACAAACTTTGTGATTTTTATTCATGACACATATGGATTCCTTGAAAAAAGAAAAGTGCTTGTGGGTCATTTCAAGGCAGAGGTCTATTACCATCTGTCTCTTGCCATTTGCACTACCATGGTAACTTTCCTCCTTGCACATTACTAATTACTACACATACCTTCTATATTTGCACTGAGCTGGGCTCTACTGTGTCTACCTCATACCTTGCACATGTGTGTGTGTATGTAATATTATATACCCATGCATAAAATGTATGCATGTATACACACAGCTATTTGCACTTCTGGTTAGATGCTAACTGCGTTTCACTGGCTATGTACTCGTACTCTGCACAAGAAGAAAAAGAAGCAGCCTTTATTTGTCACAAACATTACTACACAGTGAAATTCTTTTTCCCCATATGCCAGCTTGTTAGGAAGCTGGGGTCAGCCCTGATACAGCGCCCCTGGAGCAGAGAGGGCTGAGGGCCTTGCTCAAGAGCCCAACAGTGGCTGAAAGTTGAATCTAATCTAATCTACCACTAATGGGTCACTTCCTAATCTAGCAGGACTGTAATAAATGCTGAATAGATGGCAGATTCCATTAGAAGTTTTAATACAAAAAGAAAAGGCAACTACACTATCATTCCTGAGAAGTTTACTGGTCTGTATCTGTCCTCTGTGATATAGATTTCAATATCAAAAATGACACGAGACATTACCACTCTTGCAAAATTGTTTACATTAACCTTTAAATAATAATAAAAAAAACAAACAAAAAAAAACTGAGAATGGTGCAGGTATTTGAAGCCTTTTGTTTTCGTCTTTAACGGTCCACTGTCAATCTTTTAGGAGTCTTAATTCCATGTACATCATTATTTTTATTTATACACCTTGCAATATTTCTGCTTTTTCAATTCACAACACTGCTGTTGTGCGCTATAACACTGCTGTTGTGCGCTATAACACTGCTGTTGTGCGCTATAACACTGCTGTTGTGCGCTATAACACTGCTGTTGTGCGCTATAACACTGCTGTTGTGCGCTATAACACTGCTGTTGTGCGCTATAACACTGCTGTTGTGCGCTATAACACTGCTGTTGTGCGCTATAACACTGCTGTTGTTCAGAAACAGTGTCTTACATCATTAAAATCCAATATACTTACC